GTAAGGCCCTTAATGGGCTCTAGTGCTGGCAAATAAAAAAAAAAAAAAAAGATAGATTTTATATATTTTCTCTCTTATACAAACATCACAGAGGAGCGCTTTACATTATTCTACGAATGATCCGAATGATCCGAATGATCCGAATGATTCGTTTGATCCGATTGATTCGTTCATAGTTTTGACGGCTTCCCTTACTAAAGTATATAAATTGTCGGAAGTGTTTTCTAAATATCAAGAAAATAGCTCACGATAGTTTACATGCATTTGTCTGGCTCACTTTATTACTAAAATAATATGCACGACGACCATTTTTTGTCTTTGATTGAACACGGCGCCACCATGTTTCTTTCGCATTCAAATCATCTGCTTTGCTTAGTGCTTTTTTTCTACCACGTGACGATTGAGCGACACCAAATTTATCACCTTTCATACGCGACAGTGTATGCGAATAAGTTCGCATTAAAAAGTCAGCAGGTCGAAGATTGATCTTGTATTCGAGAACAGATGATTTCACAGTGCGAAAACATTTCTCGACTGTAGCATTTGAAACTCGTCCATGTCCAAATTCCCAATCACTTGTTGAGACATTCTTTCCATCTTTAGCATATCTAAATGATACGAATAGTAATTACAATGGATATACCAGACATGAAAAATAGCGATGTCATGGTGAGATCTAACTATGAATTTCGTTTTTTTTCTCTTTTTCTCGTGCTTTTGAATACGATCTATATCTTGTGCATGCAAAAGTTCACTGACGGTAGAACAAAAAAAGTAACTCGCAGTGAGTGAATGACTGTGTCTACGCTAATTTTTTGTGTCTACTAAAAGAAACATACCTTTCAAAGAAATTAGTCATTATACATGACCAGAACGGGATATAAGCAAACCATCTGTATAGTAAATTAATAATCTTTGGTGAATACAATGAATTGTACGGTTCGCCAACAAGTTTTTCTTTTTCTATGATTCGTCGTAGAGCTGGAATATCAGCACACGCTTTGATATTGAGAGATGATTGAAGAATAATCGCATCAGGTGTGACATCTATTTCGTTCAGAAAATCTTGCTTATTTGGTTTATCATCTTGAACATAACTTTCTTCCAAAAATAGATTGATATCCAAATTAGAAAGATCAGATTCATTCAAAAGTAAAGCGAGTATATCAGATGGGTTCTTGGAGTATGGATCTCCATAAATATGGACAATTTGTTATATGATAAGTAAGTATTTAGATAGAAAAATAAAGATTCAAAAAGAATGGATATGACTGTTATGATTGTGATGAAAGGTATATTGGTCAGATTAGTCGAGGAATCTGTAAACGAGAGAGTGAACATAAGAAAGTCTTTGTTGGACAAGGCTTTCCGAGAATTGCTCAACATTGGATCCAAAAAGGACATACTAGCAATTGTAACTCAGAAGTGTTGGCGATTGAATCTAATGCAACAAAACGAGTAATAAAAGAGAGTTTATTAGTGAACTTGTTTCTTGTTAAAAAAGGGAAAGACGTATACTCTCAAAAAAGCTTTCAGTTAAAGATGCTTTGACTATGATTCATCGTTCTTCAGTCGAAATAGAAAAGCAAAATAAATCGTGGTGCATGTACGAAGAGATACTTAAACTTAAAAAATAACAATTAATAAAAAAATAATCCTTAAAAAGTGATACGAATAATTGCGTTTTTTACCGTTTTAGGGCTTTATTTTAATCTAGTGTTTCCTGTCTGTATTTTAATATTTTTCAAAAGTATCACGTTAATTCGTGTTCATATCGCGATAGACTTCAGATTGCGTTAAAACACTGTAAACAAATCAGTGCACCTTATCGCCGTATTCATCTATATTGTGATAACCAGTAGGATATCACGAAATTTATGCATATCGTTATACATCCCGATAAAAGGCGTTACGATTTATCTAACTACTTCCTGTATTCGGATATTTCTGCAATTTAACGCGATACGAATCAGTATCGCGATGCTGATCGATAAATATCTGTCGCGACCGGAAACATTGTTTTGCATCGCGATATATCGTAGAGATAACGCAGTAATAACTTGCATCGCTGTCTATCGGAACAGTCTGCTAGATCGATAAACAATGACGATATCACGATATGTAGTATTATCAATGCCTTTATGGCGATATATCGGCGATTGCTCTGTTTAAAAATCCTTATGGGTAGTCTCAGATGTGATCATGGACTGTTTCTTAGACTTATTCTTAAATTACGAAAAATTCAGTTTGAAGACGACAAGGATCAAAAGTTACGAGCGTCTTTTTTGTGACTTTTGCTATTTCAGTTTGTTTTCCAACTAAGTTTTGTCAGAAAGATATACTTAACATATGTTTCGTAGTTTAGACTTGCTTTTTCCAATGAAAAGAATTTAAGTCCCTGGGAACATGAGAAATGACGCTCAATGGTTAATACAAAATTTATGCATTACAAGTTAAAACTTAAGAATTCAGCAGTGCAAGAAATAACAACAGTGGTTCACCAAAACTTGGAAGAAATCGTGATTACATTTGAGAGCATTTTATGGATAATGGACAGGCAAAAACAGGCGGGCATAGAAAATGCCGTTGCAAGCATTGTTCGAGTCAGTCTGATGGTGAAGATTACAACATTGATGATATTCTTAGTCCTCTATTTGTTGAACGAACATTCCTGTTTGGTGTATATTTTTATGCAGAAACAATATAGTTTTGTTGCAGACTGGGTTATAGAAGATTGACTGAATAAAGAAGCTGCAATCTTGGTTTCGAACTTGACAAGCTATCACATCTTGTAGAGCGAACATTTTTCTACAAACTGGTATACTTGTTCAATGTTTAGAGCTCGTCTTCACTCTTTTAGACACGCTTTTCAGATAGCTTAAAAATCGATTTTTGGGGCTGTTTGTACAACAGCTATATTTTCATAACGAATCAACGTTCAGCGTCGAGACACTTTCCATTTTGTAGAGAAATGTTTAATCTACTTAATCACGTAGTTGCCATTTTAGATTAGTTTGTAGCTTTATGCAATAACTTTTCGAAAAAGAGCTAAAAATGGAGACCGTTACAGCTTGACAGACCATCTACATATTTAGGACATTTGACAGGTTTTTTGAGAAATTTTTTGTGCTCTTTTGTGTGTTGTATATACTTGTTACTCCTATTTGTTTGAGTTGTACTTTTAGAATTTACGACTTGATTTCTTTTGCGTTTACAGAATAATTAATCTTGCCAAAGGCTGAGCTTAGCATCGCGGCTAGTGACGAATGATTTGACGATGACAGCATGGACGTTATCATCGTGAACGTCAAAAATAACGTGAACGGGAAGAAAAATGAAAAATAAAGGCGGATCAATAACTCGCACTCATGAGAAAATTCATGTGTGCATAGATCACTTCTACACTTTTCAATGCATAGATCCAGATAGAAACCCGCGAGAAGATACGCATGGGTATACTCCTCGAACTTCAGTAAGTGGACTTCCATGAACGTTAATGCGTGACATCCAATTTCCGTGTATGTTAACGCCTGGAAGCCAAATACCTTGCGTAAATATGCATCGGGGTCCACGCTTTGGAATTTGATGAGCATATTCATGTGTGTCGTCGCATGGGTCCTCATATGGATCCATGCATTTACAGGATGCTTCCTTGCATTGAAACGCATGGAGTGCCATATTCAGGCATGATAACGCGTGAAATCCAGGATTTGTACACGCGGAAGCGCTTGAACATCGGATCCCACGCGTGATGAGCGCCTGGAAAATCCAAACTTTTCCACATGGGTAGTCACTGGAGAAACAGAAAGAAAAACAAGAAAACTGTTCTGAACGTTACCGTTTCTTTTTCTTTTCCTTCTCTTCAGATTTGTACTGGAATAACCTTCTGTAAAAACGTAAAGTGGTACTGATCTATTGGTACCATTTTCTGTTGATTAATAAAGTTCATCCGACAGTTCAAATAAGTTTATAAATCATGAGTGGTTCAGCTGCAATTATACGTGGTTCATTTATTTGTTGTTGTTTTTAAAGAACTTTTTGTTGTTTTCAGCACTTCTTGCGAAGCAGTAAATGTGTGTAGAAATGCCTAAACATAGCAATCTTGAGTCTCTTTTCCTCTTCTCTTATCTCTAATAGTTAATGAATACATTTTCATTCCTTATAACGCGCTATATCGACCATTTGAACAAGAGTGCGTCATCATGCCGCCAACACTCATTCATTTTAAACCTGGTGAACACTGTTGCTACTTTCGAAGCGAGTGAAAATGACAGTGTGAAAACGAAACACGACGAAGATGCGGATCACCATACTAATGAATATGTTCTTGTCTTACAACCGATTCTGATGACGGTTTCATCAAATATTTGCCATATCAAAGTGTAGTTATGAAATTTTGTTTCCTCGCTATCTCGTACCGTTCCTGGGTTTTCCAGAGTCCAAGATCAAAAAACCATCTTCACTGTGCAATACTTTTTTTAAATATACTTCAAGCTAGAGATCTCGGATTGGATTTATTTTCAGTTAGACACTTAAACGCGCGGACTGATGGGATTAGAATTTTGATTCAGGTCTTCGTTGGTATTCTAGAGATACAAAATCTTCAAAAACCCGAATAATTCTTTCGGATTTTCCAGAGATGTTTGATTTTCTAGAAAACTAGGGCCTAATTCGAAAATCGGCGCCCATCAGCCACGCAGTTAGGTATCTAATTTAAAATAAAACCAACCCGAGATCTCTAGCTTGAAGTATATTTAAAAAAAGTGTTGCACACTGGGCGTGTTCGAACAAAAAACGTGTTTTGAATGAAAACGCTGTGTATTCGTTGGTCTATTTGAGGACATGTAGGAAATGAATACTTCACTCTTC